ATAGATAATCGACTGCGATAGATATAATTGACTAAGATAGATAGATAGATAGATAGATAGATAGATAGAAAGAAAGAACGAAAGAAAAAACGACTGAGATAGATAGATAGATAGATAGATAGATAGATAGATAGATAGATAGATAGATAGATACTGATTTGTTTGCAAGAGAATTATCCTGGATGTTTTATTTACTATCGAAGATAATGATTAATACGACTATTATTATTATTATTATTATTATTATTATTATTATTTCTGTTCCATACACATTACCTTCCGGGTCCCAACCAGAGACCTTAGATCAGAAATGGCTTAATGACATTTCCACTGATCATTTTTATAAAAGTAAATCACTCACGTTTTTTTATAGATAAAACTCTTCGTAATGTGTGTCCTGTACTTGTGAGTACATTTTTTGTCTTTCTTTATGGCACGGACTACCAGGAATCCAGTGTGTATAGTAAAATGAAATACATGTGTCTTCATATGCTTGTACTTGTAGGAATCCTTCTACTCGGCTTTTTGTTGAATATTAAAATTCGGAGTGTCGGGATTCCATACATTAACAAAATATCTTTACAGGGTCGCTAGTGATTTGACTGTCTATAATAATCACATGATTTTCATTGAACGAATAAAATTCAGTAGAAAAGACGACGTAGTTTCAACAAATAAACATTAATATAACGATAAGAATACAAGCAGTTGATGATGGATTAGAAAATAATGTCTTTTGTTTGGGTTGATAAAATTTTGAAATAAAATATAAATTGTCATTGTGTATGTATGTGAGAAACAATGAAATATTATATGTGCGTTTGTGTGAAAAAGTCAACACGTGTGTCCGTGGTTCATAATAAAGAGTATACAATAGATAGTTAGAAATTGTTTCTTACTGTTGGCGGTGTTGCCGTAGTCTGAAGTTTGTCAACGCTGTCGCTTTTAGCATGAGTTCGTGAAGATCATAAGCGAGAGTGGCGTGGACCTTGGTGACAGCTGTGCGTATCCTGTTTGGGGTTGGATTTTGTATGTTTTTATACACTTTTTCGTAGCAACATCGGTCCCAGAATTAAATAATTTATTTATTTCTAATTGGCCCTAAAAAGTCATGTGGTGTGTGTTCTACTACGTCCGCACGATATTTGGGCGATATCTACCCAAAAAACATGATGACTAATACAACAAACTTTCTGATTTGTATTCTATGATTTTCAAGTTTAATTTTTATGGTGTAAGTATTTTCGTGAATATGATCGGTTTATAAATATTGTATTTGATATTTTAGTGAACACGACATACTTATTCTATGTTTTGATGTCGGAAGAAAATTTTTTATCTAGCCATAACGATGTTTAGAAAAGTGATCAACTTTCATAAAACACTGTCCCTTCAGTGAAACGCGGCAGAGGTAGTTTGGTGTTCAGCGGATGCGCGCGCGTGTGTGTGTGTGTGTGTGTGTGTGTGTTTCAGAAAACCACCTCTCTGTGTTGTAAAATACCTCAGTTTGCATACTGACACTCACAGGCTATATTGGAAGCAAGGCAAGAGAGAAAGAAACTTATCTAACAAACTAGTGTAAATGAACGGAGGAGCAAGGAAAGTGAATGGCAAAAGGCAGACGTTAGTAAGAGCTAGAGAGAAGTTGTGGAGAGCCTTGATCGACTACGTGTTGAAGAAACACGGCACATTCAAGAAGACGAAAAACACTACAAGTAAATCATGTATTTTTCAGTTTTTATTCAATTTATCTATTAGGATTCCTTTTCAAGTAAGAGAAAGTTACCATGATTCGAAATTTTGTACAACATGCAATATCATCTGGATGGATTTTATTTTTTTAAATTTCCAGAGACTTTATAGTTGGTCGTAAGTCCGAGGGACGTTAAACGGGAAGTCGTTAAGTGAGGAGAAAGAGAAAACAACAACGATCAAATATTTCGTACAACATCCAATACACCTGAATAGATATATATTTTTTCTGATTTCAAGAGATTTTATAGTTGGTCGTAAGTCCGAGAGACGTTAAACGTGTAAGTCGTTAATTGAGGAAAAAGAGAAAACAACTCCGATCAATTTTTTTCATAGAATATCAATTACTATTTGGATGGATTTTGTTTTTATAATTTCAAGAGATTTTATGGTTGGTCGTAAGTTCGAAGGACGTTAAACGGGTAAGTCGTTAAGTGAGAAGAAAGAGAAAACAACTCCGCACATTTTTCATACAATATCCAATACCAACTGGATGGATTTTTTTTTTTTTTTAATTTCAAGAGATTTTATAGTTGGTCGTAAGTCCGAGGTACCTTAAACATGTAAGTCGTTAAGCGAGGAGTGGCGGATTTTATAAAAATACAAGAAAAAATATCAATAAAAAAATATCAATCTGCTTTGTTTTTCGTTTGGTTTTTCGAAACGCTTTTCCAGTCGACATCAATTACATATTTCCTCATCAGTAAATTAAATTTGTTGCTGTTTAACTTTGATAACTGGCTTTGAC